CTTCAGCACAGTGGTTCTCTTTTTGTCTTCTTATGATACTTTGAGTTTTTAGCTATCGTTCAGCTACTTTTAGTTCTCAGTAATATACTTTTTTATTATATTTTTATATTTACTGTTTGCCAACTTTAACATTAAGCTATTGTTCCGTTAATTTTAGCTTTAGCTAGCCTTTGGCTGCTTTTAACTTCTAGTCTTGTGGTACCTTCAGCTAACATTTTGTTACTTTAGGTTTTAGTTAGCATTTTTTTATGTTTAGCTTTTAGATACCCTTTTGTTGCTTTAACATTTAGTTGTCTTTTTGCAGTTTTAATTTGACTCCAAGGCTTTTGATTCTATTAGAGCTGATGGTTTTATGCTGTATTTCTGTATTTTATATACATTTTTTGAACTTTTGTTTCTTTATAGTTTTATTTGTTCWTTTGGCTGAATTGTGAACCACCTTGGTCATGTCTTGCTGTTTTTATGTGCTATATAAATTAATTGACATAACTCAGTTTCAGCTTGTCATTCTGCTTTTTTTGCTGAAAATAAAGTTCCTCTGATTTATTTTTATCATAATGGTTTTTTGTTGTTTTGTTTTGTTTTTTCCAGCAAATTCAGCTCAATGACCAGAAACAAGAATTCAACAAGCGTCCAACCAAAGCTGTCCCTCGCTCTCTGTCTCGGTCCATCTCACAGACGTCTACAGACAGCTTCACTTCAGGTACAAAAACATCGTCACATGTTTTTCATTAGCTCTGAGGATTAGCCTCTGTGTGTTCCCATCAAACTGATAATCACTTTTCTCGCAGAAATTTAAACAGACATTCTGAAGCCATAATAAATCATAATTTACTGCATTACGCTCCTAACCAGATGACTGCCCTGATGTGCTTTTTGTGTTGCAGTGTGCAGTGAGAGCTCGGAGGAACTGTCTCCTCCAGACAAGCTGCAGAGCACCTCCAAAGGCCTGTCAGACTTCTGCATTAAAAACATCAGAAAGGCTGACTTTGGGCGAAAAGAAATCGAGATTGCACAACAAGGTGCAGCAAACAAGTTTCTTTATGTGACATCAGTTTAACCAGGTTCCTTCATAAGGAGATTCACATGATTTTTTTTTTTTTTCCTTTTTGTCTGTGATCTTCAGAAATGCCAGCGCTGATGATTCTGAGGAAAAACGCAGGAGGGGAGAAACCTCTGAATGGAGCCAAAGTGGCGGGCTGCACTCACATCACTGCACAGACGGCGGTCAGTTCAACACGCAACCATCTATGAAATACATCATGTTTAGGATATTTTCATTCTAATTCATTCAGATATTTTAAATCAGAGCTTGTTTATGGTGGGATAACTGTGCTGATGTTTGGGTTCAGGTGCTGATCGAGACTCTGGCGGCGTTAGGAGCTCAGTGTCGATGGGCCGCCTGCAACATCTTCTCCACTCAGAACGCCGTGGCTGCAGCTCTGGCTGAAGGAGGTTTGTTTTTCTACCAGTGCCTTCATCTGAATTTAAAAGGTATTTTTTGCCTTTTGACRTTCTGCCTCCCTCTCCATCAGGAATCTCAGTGTTTGCATGGAAAGGAGAATCAGAGGATGACTTCTGGTGGTGCATCGACCGATGTGTGGCAGCCGACTCCTGGCAGCCCGACTTGGTRCGTTGATCTCAACAACTTTATGTGTTTGAGCTTCTCAGGATGGAAATGTTTGACGATATAGACCACATTTGGTGGTTCTTTAAACATCTGCCCACATGTAGCCACAGAGACAAGAAATAAGATGAAATCTAGATTTCTTATCCGTGTCTAGTCTTCAATAATGAGAGAAAGGCCTAAATCTTGTCCCAGATTGTGTCAGTTCTCTGGTACTACCTGCTCATTTTGTGATCCATCATGAATATCTATCAACAGATTAAACCATGTGATTTAAGAACAGAGATTCAAGTTGATACTTTGTAAATAAAAGAATTATTTTTTAATTTACCACATCTGACTTTGGTGAATAAATTCTTTAAACTATCATAATCTTTGGTAAAATCAGTGATATAATTATCATTTGTGTTGTGTTGCTAAATCTTCGCTTTATTACTCATATTTTAAAAAAAACAATCTTATTAGAAATGGAAAATGAGTCCCTACTTTGAGTGAATCGTCCGTTCTGTGCTTTAAATCCAACCATCCTGCTGCAGACACGAGTCATAAAAMGTCAACGTGACGTCCTTTTAAATGATCTAAAAAAATCCTGTGCACTGTTTGAGTGTTTGTGTGGAGTCAGTCAGAACCCTGAAATGAAAATAACAGGCAGGTGATAATTGAACTGTTTCCACTGAAAACTGTGAATGTGTACTTTCAGTGTACTTTTCTGTGTGTACTTACACACAAACATTCAGCCATCTTGAATCAAACTCCTACAATGAACCAGGGTTGAAGACATTAATCTAAAAATGTCTTTCTGAGAGCTTGATYAACCAACATTCTTTGGTTTATGAGAAAAGTTGCTAACAGACAAACACCCAGTTGCAGTATCACCACTTTTCATGGCAGCRGATACTAAAAAAAACTGCTGTAGAAATTATACGGTTTTATGTTTATTTATATGTATTAGTATACAGATGTAGAGTAAGATGAGCTCCATGTCTGTGTGCTGTTGATGATGATGATGATGATGGTGTGGTTGTGATTGTTTCTGTCATTAGATTCTGGATGATGGTGGTGATTTGACTCACTGGATCTATAAGAAATATCCAAATCTGTTCAAGAACATCAAAGGAATCGTGGAGGAAAGTGTGACGGGCATCTATCGGTTAGTTTTTCAACAGAGCTCCAATATTTATCACCCTAAAAACATGTACAATAGGTTGCCTTCAGGCCCAGGAATCCATTGAAAAAGAGATCTGAGATCTCAATGGGACTTGCCTGGTTAAATAACAGTAAATAAAACAAATAAATAAAATAAAAAACACTTCACTGAAGGTGGAAAAGCATTGTGTGTGTACCTGGTTTGTGCCACCTTATTAGGACCTTTTTCTGCTATGAACACCTAACTTATCAGGACCAGTAGTCCTTTTGGGGACCAAAGACTGGGCTCAGTATGGTGGAACGCCATTTTTTGGTTAAGGTCAGGGCAGCAGAAATGAATAGAAGTCAATACATGGTCCTTATGAGGTTAGAAATACAAATGTGTATGTGTATTTGTTTTTTTTACGTAGATGTCTGTCTACAACTGTCACAGCTAATTGATATTAACAAAAACAAAAATGCATCAGATACAAATTGAGCTAAAATTTGGTGTGGTAGTAAATATAGTCAATTATATGATCTTAGTGTAAAACACACACATAAAAATCTGCTTCCTTGAAGACGTTCTTCAGCTCCAACATCTTTATATATTTCTGTGTTTTAGGTTGTACCAGCTGTCGAAGGCCAACAAACTCTGCGTTCCCGCCATGAACGTCAACGACTCGGTGACCAAGCAGAAATTCGACACCCTTTACTGCTGCAAGGAGTCCATCTTGGATGGGTAACGACTCGTGTTTTGATTGTAAACAGTTAAGGATGACTCGCACAACCACCGGTCTCCTGACTGGACTGAACTCTTCCAGGTTAAAGCGAACGACTGACATCATGTTTGGAGGAAAACAGGTGGTGGTGTGTGGATACGGTGAGGTCAGTGCAAGGCAGCGTGAAATGCACGTCCCTGAAGTACCTGTTCTTTTTTTCTTTTTCTTCTGCTCAGCCAGTCTGGCTTCTTCTTCCTGACAGGTAGGGAAAGGCTGCTGTGCGGCTCTGAAAGGACTGGGTGCCATCATTTACGTCACAGAAGTGGATCCTATCTGCGCCCTGCAGGCCTGGTANATTAATTAACCACAGTAATAAAATGTGTTGTCAAACAGAGCTGGGTCAACAGATCTGGCTCATTTCCACATCAAATATTTAACCTTTTAAAGAAAAGCACATATGCAAATAAAAATGTTAATGACTCACTTACCAGAGCTATTTTTAGTTTTATTATTTTCAAAGATRCTTTCTTGGTGAACATTAACTCACAGTTAAAAGTCTTCTTCACATCTTGACTAGAAAGCTGAAAATATTTGTTTATGTTAGGGAGGTGTATATTGTCAAATATATTTTTCAATATTTCTTAAAACAGCTGATTTGTTAGAGCTGATTTAAAAAATAAACATTTGGCCAGCCCTTGCAAAATCTGCCCCTGTTGCTTCGAATTAGATGCAGTGGGTAAACAATAATTCTACGACTTTAACTGCTTGTGGGGTTCTGTGGAAAGTGTATGAGCAGTTAGCATCTTATCTGTTGTAGATTGCTTTTTTTTTTTTTTTTTTTTCTGCTCAGCCAGTCTGGCTTCTTCTTCCTGGCAGGTAGGGAAAGGCTGCTGTGCGGCTCTGAAAGGACTGGGTGCCATCATTTACGTCACAGAAGTGGATCCTATCTGCGCCCTGCAGGCCTGGTATGAAAAGAAGAAGCTTTTATCTGCAAAGATATAAAATGTGCCATTCCCTTAAAGCCGTGGTGCATAATTAAAGGCCCTTTGTTCCTTTTAAAGCTCTGTCAAACCATAAAGTTTTAAACAACTTGTGCCAAATTGTGAAATTTTATGTCTTACATGTGTACACTACTAATAAAAGTTATATAACTGATCATTTTGTTAGCATTGCATTATGCATGTCTGAAAGTGGCTTCCAGTTGATTTTTTAAAATTCCATCTTCATCGTAGATGTCACTAAAACTTTCATAAGTTGTCTAAAATGTTAAAGTGTGACAGGGCCACATGGATATTTACAGAAGCGGATTACAGCCACAGCGTTCAAACTTTTTTTTTTTGAGATTAAAGTCAGCTCTTACAATATGCATTAGCATTATCCTGGCGATGACGGACTGATACTATCACAAAATTCTGCTCAATATCTGTGCTGGCTAATATGGATTAGGTTTGGTGACCATCTTGAATTGGATTGACACTAAAAGCTAATCAGCTGTAGATGAACATCCAATGTTTACTTTTTCAGAGATTCATTAAAATCTATCCAGCTGTTCACGAGATATTTTGCTAACAGACAGCGTTGAGAGTAAAAATGTTGCAAAATGTGTATTATTTTATATATTGTTTATATTATTTTTTATATACAATATCTATGAAACTGATTGAATTATAGATGTTTTTGTGTTTAATAATTTCAGTGGCTGTGGCGGCCATCTTTAATAGGGTTGTCTCCAAAAGTTAATCACTTGTAGATGTACATCCTGTGACTACAATCTGAGACCCTTATTCAGGTTCATCCTCAGGTTTAGACGATATTTTGCTAACAGTACAGACAAACTGCGCGGCTGACAATAAAAACWGTTTGAATTTTAACTCTCGTCTCTGCTCCTCTCAGCATGAACGGCCTCAGAGTGATTACACTGCATGAAATGATCAAACACGCCGACATCATCATCTCCTGCACAGGTACAACCGCTGTCCTCAGATCAGATCGCTCTCATCAAGAACACACACACACCTAACAATGACTCTGTGTTGTTTCTCTGCAGGCAACAAGAGCGTGATCACGCGGGAGCACTTCGACCAGATGAAAAACGGCTGCATAGTTTGCAACATGGGCCACTCGAATACGGAGATCGATTTGGTAAAAAAAAGATTAATTATATAAACGTCTGCTTTCGTTTGGGTTAATATCTGAGTGTTTTAATTGGGGACACCTGTTTTCCAGTCGAGCCTGCGGACCGAGGAACTGAAATGGCAGCGCGTGAGGCCTCATGTGGACCACATCCTCTGGCCTGATGGCAAACGGGTTGTCCTGCTGGCTGAGGTGATGATGATGATGATGGTCTATATATCATTCAGATACTAATAATTCACACAGTAAAAATACCACCCTAAACCAACACAAAAATGGCTTTAAAAATGTCAAATATTAAGCTACAGTTTGGTTTGGTAGTAGCTGAGAGTCATTCACAACACATACTTTGAATCATGCAGTTCACTGGTCTCTATAGCTGGTGAGAGAGTAACCAACATGTATATATATATAT